CTGAATCGTGGATTCTAAGGTACAATAAAAATCCAAAGGGAAATATATTTGGTGTTATATAGAGAGACAGACTTTTTCCCAGAGCATTTTCAATGATTACTGCAGGAATGAATGAGTAAAGGTTTCAAGAATGAATAGAGGCAGAAAACCAACTTACTATTATACATAAGTCTCTGCAGCCCCCGGGTACAAGTACTTCTGTATCTCCTTTTGTTGAGTTCTCTACTTTTTTTTATGAATATGCATATTGGGGAAAAAAGGCTTCCATCTGCTCTCTTTTAGCTGATTCTATCACATTTTTGAACTGTGCATCATTATGGAGCTTCAGAGAAAGACGATCCTTTACATTACATATGGATATAAAGGAGAGAAGGAGTTGATGAATTGCAAACAAGTATAATTTATATGGACAAAGTGTGCCAGAAGTGCTTTTCACCCCATTTTACTCTGCAAATGGAATGATTCCTGCCCATTCACTTGGCCTAGTGCCCAAGAACTCAGAGAGGAAAACCATGCCTTTAGCCTATGCATCAGGATTTCACCTCATCCCTGTGAGGACATGGTGCTTTGCACTCAGGCTCACCGGGGCCCCCAGAGGTCAAAAAAAAAATCTCTGAACATACTAATGTTACGTTTTTTAGGTTCTTTTGTCTTGGCTTCTTAATTTATAATATCACACAGACGCACTGATACTCTGTGTATGTGAGAAGTTTGCGTGATGGAGTAGGAAAGGGGGAGTAATGGAAAGCTCATATTTTCCTGGTAGCCTCTCTTTGCTCTTTGATTTCCCATGATAGATCATTTGCTCAGATGCCCGTAAACTTTGCAAATATTTAAATCTTACATTTAGGGTATCTTCCTAAGGGCTTCTTTGTTGGCTATAGCACACTCGGCTGTGACTCTATACTGTAAAGACCAGGGCCTAAGGTGCAGTAATAACCCCAAACCTTTTATTTATTTAATATAGACATTCATTTATATACTTAATCATTTATTCTTCAAAAATGATTATCCCTATCATGTGCCAAGAGTGAGGAGTCAGAGCTAAATACAATATAGCCTCTCCCTAAACTGCCAGGAGTAAACAAAGAAATAGTCTGTCGCGACAAAATGGTCATGAATCTGTAAAGGTCTGTTAAATCACCTGACTCTCTCTCATTGCTGCTGGACAGCACATTTGTCTTAGCCCTCTGGCATTTGTGTCTGAAGAATTTCATATCACTACAAAACCATGCCAGTATTATGGTAGCATGTGCACTGCTTTGATTTTTATGTTCAGATATCAGTTTTTATGCACATACTGCATGCATTGTGTTGGTGCTTTGAACACATTATCTCATTTAATTGACAAGATAACGTGGAATATTAGTACTATAATTATATAGATTTTGTAGAGGGAAAAAGCTAAGCTCAGAGAATAAGTGACCTACCCAAAGTCACACAGTCCTCAAACCAGGATCTCTGGTCAATGTGTTTAGGTCAACACTGGGTGTGATGAGATGAATTCAGTAGTAAGATAGGCGGTAGCATAAAGTGAGGGTTACTTCTGTCTTATTTCCATAGCCAAAAAACCTGGTCAAATTTAGAAACTGCTGTTCTTTTGCCTGTATTTAGTCCCTATTCATTTTGCTTTCAACCTTCACATAATTTTAGCATGACTTCCCACTTTTATGAAAGAGTACTTGAAGTCTGCATGCTGATGGGTTATACAATTTTCTTTATCGGTGGTGGGGAGATGGAAGTGGTTGTGTGTGTGGGGTGATGAAGTATCTAAAATTTCATCATACTATTTTTCTCAGAACTTACGCCTGTAACGGAAGTTTCTCAACATGAAATGTCATCAATTTGGTCTCACTCAGGAAGTTGCAAGGCACTTGGCTGTAACCTCAGAGAATTGGACAGTGTCTAAAAGCTGAAAATTTTTAGCTCGCTGTCATTTTAGAAGTTTCAAAAGTTATTTTATTTCTTAATGAATTCTTTTTACAATTTAATTGATTTAAAAAAGCTTCTGATAAAATACTTCAGGGTGAAGATACATGCCTGTTTATATCAGCAATAGAATGGTGGGGGGGAGGAAACCAGAATTTAAATCATCTACTTTTTGCTCTTATCAATAAAGTATTATAAAGATTTTATCCATTTACCTGAAATGAAATTTCTCTAACCGTGCATACTGTCACAACAAACTTGAATCTGTAAATATAGGCTATCCCTGGGATCAGAATAATCACTGCATTCCAGAATGGTTTTACAACCTTTCTAAACTGAGAGACTCAGCTGGTTCCAATGCAGAGGCTGTGGCGAGATTGTGATGCAGATTATCTGATCCAAAGGGTTTTTATGGCATAGTATCGGGCAGCATATATATTCCATGTCTAAATATTGTTGAGTGATTAAATAAATGAGTGAGACTGGTTCTCTCACCAGGTTTCAGCCTAAGCCAGTGTAATCATCTGGTAAACATTAAAATGTCAATCCTTGAACCACCTTCACATCTACTCTTAAAAGACTCAGACTCGTGTCTCTCTCCCAAGCCAACAGTGGAAGGTCTAAGTCTCTCAACTACCTCACAACCTTGGATGACCTATTTATTGCCTTTCCACTCCTCTTTATCCAGCTTTCCATGGTCAAGAGAAAAACCTAAGGAAGGTGAGGCTAGAGCTGCAGGGATGGAGTAGGTAAAGTAAAGGCAGCAGTGCTCCCAACATGTATTTCTGCTAGAGTGTCCTTTTCGGTGCTGTGCTCCATGATGGGGCCATCCTACCAGCAACTGCAACCTCAAGGTGTCTTCACTTTCCTCCTTTCTTCTCTCTTTGCATGAATCCAAGTTCTCTTCCTCTGCTTCAGTCTCCTCAAGGCCTCTGCAGCACTTCTGCTCAAAAGTATTTCCCTAAATTCTTGATTGGTACCTTCATTTTGAAGGGATTGAAGTTGTGGCTGAGTATGTTTCACAGGTGATATCCACCATTTTACAATCAGGAAGTTCCTTATATGCTTCCCAACCTACAATTTCTGGGCATCTTCATAAAGAAGCTATACTCTCTTGACCTCCCTGAGGCAGCAGGTTGATTAAAGTTTAAAAATTATGGTCAGTGGTTGTGCTGTGTCCAAGGAGGCCCTAGAATAATCTCTTTGAGGTAGTAGTCCTACCAGGAGTGGGGCCATGATGGAGCCAGCATGTTGGAATTTTGAAACTGAAACATGATTTCCTGCTGTGGAGAGGGAAGAACAGAAAGAGACATGTGCTCTACTCCTGACCTGGGCACTACATCTGGGATTAACTCTCATGGATCTGGAAAAATATGATAGAGATTAACAGTGTAATATTGTCCCCAAGAATTTAAAATAACACTTTGTGTTTCCTGATTTTTCCTAAGGCGTTATGTTTTATTTATTTAAAAAAACTTTTAGGTCACTTTGGAAGGCATTTACCTATAGATTTAGTAGATTGATTTAAACATAAATATGGAATGTGCTGTATGGGAATAATTGTTATATTTAATGCCCTCCAGCGAACAATTCCTAAATGCCCACTCTGTACCTGGTATTACACCAGAGATTAAAAAGACTAAACAAAATAATCTCTGTCACAAGGAGATTACAGTCTCATGTAAGGGCAAGTGTCATAATAAATAAAGTGTAACGTGATAAGTGTTGTAATCAACAGAGGTACAAGTTGCTATGGAAACACAAAGAGGGGAACGCCAAAGGGAATCATGGAAGGCTTCACAGAGTTAAGTGACTTTGGTGGTGAGTCTCAAGACAGAAAACAGAGGGTGGCTTCTGGATATAGAAAATAGCAGGAGCCACTCCAGGAAAACAAGTAACATAAGAAAAGTTGCCAAGGGGATAGTGAATTCAGGGCATTGCAAGTAGATTATTTTGGCTGGAGAATGTAGAGTGAGAGTGGGAGAGGAAAGGTATGACTCATAGAGTAGGTTAAAAATTGTTGGGAAGGATTTTCTATATCCCTGAGGGTTTAAATATTATACTAAAGACAATGAAAAGCCATCAAAAATTTTAGGCTGGGAAGTATGTGATTTAATTTTGTATTAGAAGCTCTTTCTGGAGATCATGTGGAGGATGGATTAGAAGGTAGGGCATTGACAGAATAGAAGTCAGTTGGAAAATTATTGCATCATTTCACACATGAGATTATGAGGTTCCAAAGCAAGACAGCAACTATGGGAATAGATAGAAAGCCATGAATATGAAAGCATTTCTAGAGGTAGGATCCATAGGGCTTGATTACTTATTGAATCTGTATGAAAAGGATACATGTGAGATGAAGCAAGAAATTATTTTCCGCTTTGGGTAACTGGCAAGAAGTTGGTACTGTTAAAGAGAGAGGTAGATTGGCAATAAAACAAGAGAGACAAATTTGCAGAGAAAATCAAGAATTTAGGTAAGTTGAGTTGAAGCTTCCTAGAGTGCAGTGAACTGAATTGTGCCTCCCCCCCATCCCCTTAAATTCAGATGTTGAAGCTCTAAACCCCAGCATATGATATTTGGAGATGGGGTCTTTGGGAGATAATTAGGTTTAGATTAGGTCATGAGGGTGGGGACCTCATGATGGGATTAATGCCCTTATAAGAAGAAACACCAGAGAGCTTGCTGTCTCTCTCTGCCATGTTGGAGGCTATCTGCAAGCCAGGAAGAGAGGTCTGACCAGAACCCAACCATGCTGGCAACTTGATCTTGGATTTCTATCTTCTGAAACTGTGAGAAATAAATTTCTATTGTTTAAGCCACTCAGTCTATGGTGTTTTGTTATGGCAGCCTGAGCTAATACATACAAGTATTTAGGAAGTTGGATAACACAGATCTGGGTTCAGGAGAGAGACTGAGGTGAGGTAATTGATTTGGAAATTGTATAAATATATGAGTATATATATATATATATATATATGTGAGAACTGACTATAAAACCTCGTCTGATAGGAGATATTTTGTCTAAAGTTCTAAGATGAATATACTTTAAATAACACTAGTCTGGAAAATACCAAATGCACATAGTTCTTTTTATTATTAAAATTAGGGTATTTCAAAATTAAAAATATTTACACTTAAAGATGAAGAATCTGTACAATTATTAAAATTAGTTTTACTAAATCAGAATTGACAATATATCATTATCTATACTTTCATACAGACAACAGTGAAGAAATCAACAAAAAATAATTACTAAAACTCCACTGTGGATCAGGATAAAATGTCTCCAGTATTAACTCACACTATGCTTGGACAATTAGTTAAACAGACACACACTCTGTTACTATTCATTCAACAATATACACAAATTCAAAACTGGCAGGTATAAAAAAAGGAAGTTTTTTTTTTTTTTTTTGCAGAATCATTTTGCACTTATAAAATAAAGCCAAATAAGGCTTATGTTGCACATACCAAAAACTTACGCTATCCTTTTTCTGATACAGGTAAGTGAAATATTAACACGTAGCATTTAAAATGATAAATATACATATTATTTACAATAATTGGGAGCATTAGAGATATGAGCTTTTATGTACAATCATTCCTATTAAAACATTTTAACTTCAGGTTGTATCTGCAAATACTTCCCTTCCTCTCCTTTTTGATCTTTTATTGATAGCTCAAGAAGAGTTAAAATAGAACACATTTGTAGATGTAGAGTTGATAATATGTATTCAGTCACTTGGCTCTGTGATAGTAATCTTCTGTACCATGTTGGACAGATTTTCAGACTCCAGATCTTCTTTACCATTATCTGAATTTTCTGATGAGATATAACAACCAGAGTCCCTTGGGCAGTCATCTAACTGTGACTTATTTAAGGAGATGTCTGGGCTTAAGAATAGGGACACAGATTCATTTTCTTGCTCCTGAATAGCTGTAAATGGAAAAGAGGGCAGCAGTTAGGCAAAGCCAAGAAAAGTTTTGTTCATATACTCATTCATCTTTGAGCTATTTTAACTGTTCCAAACTTGACTTCATTACAATTGAAAATTCTGTAAGTAAACAATATGTTTGTTTACTATAAAAGAGTAGTTTGAACTCAAATATTCAAACCACTGTTTTCTTAGAAGACAAAGTTTTCCCTTTGTTGCTCACTTGCAGTTTCACGGAGTTCATGTGAATGGCTTACATAAGTGAAGATCAATATGGACTCTCATTTTACATTAATAACAAGTTGCCAAAGAAAGCAGATTGCATCCACAGTGTGACTGATGCCTTGTCCAAATACTCCTTAAAGTAACATTAGAAGAAGTCATTTGTAGTTTAAATGTACAATCCAAGTCAGTAGTGATCTTCTCGAACAGTTCTAGAATCATGATAATGTGGATTAATGAATAAAAAATCACTATGGGCAACAATGTACAGTAGGATTTCAATAACCTAGAATTTAACTAATAAAACTTAAGAGTATCCAGAGTTTTCCTGTGTTTGCATTCATCAGAAAAGTAGACATAGAAACCAAGCTGCTTTTATTTTTTTTAATTTTTTGGCTGTGCCACATGGCTTGAGGGATATTATTTCCCCCACCAAGGATTGAACCCGGGCCATGGCAGTGAAAGTACCGCACCAAGTCCTAACCACTGAACCACCAGGGAATTCCCCAGGTTGCTTTTAGATAGAAACACTATGTCCATTGAATCTGCCCTTTATAGTTTGTCTGCTACTTCTTTGTTTATAGTTCTGAATAACAATTATTTATATTCAGAGTGGTAATTCTGTGTCATCAAGGCAGTATTCTGGATTCAACAGGCATTATCTTTTTAGAAAAAAAAATAACATTAGCAATGTAACGAAAGATATTTCTAAAGAACCTAAGCAGCCCTAGTTTTACTCTCCTCAAGAATATTAAGCATCCGTGTTCTCATTTTCAATGTGATGTTTCCTTCTTTGCATTGCCTGACACCAGTAAACACATGTTTCTCTGTACCATGAGATGGGTTTCAAGGAAAGGAGATGGATCTTAGGCTACCACCTCTCAGCTGTATCAGCGTGTTTTGCTATTTCCCCTTCTAACCTTGGGGCTTCTCCACTTTGGACATTTGAATAACCCTACATTGGAAGAACATACATTTCAGGGTGGATTAAGACCTCTGCCTTCAGAGGCTATGCACTTCATCCCCTTCCAGTGAGAATAAAGTAAATCCAAACTTCAAAATCTTTGGAAGAAGGAAATTGTGTAATTGTATAATTTTCCTTAATAGACTCTTAAGTAATTTATCTTTTGGAAATCTACCCTTTATCTTGTCTACACATCTCCTGCTTTTAAATGCATTTTCTAGGCTTCAGATATCTTGCCAACATTAGTTTATGGTCCACTGTGTATCCAATTGTTATCAACCTCTATTACAAGAGAGAATTAAGCCCTGGTGCCTCAGCATCCTTGTACATAATGAATTAAGTTCTTATCAATGTATCTACAATGGTACTAGTTATGTACCTTTCATGGAGGAATTGAGTCACTTAAATTATTTTCTGTATTATGTGGTTTATATGGGAAACACAAGTTGAGAAAGGATGGAAAAAATGATAAAAATTTCTTAGTCCACTCATTTTCAAAATGAATCATAACAGTTCTTTTAACCTTTTCCTCAGAGTTTTCATTTGCAACGATGAAACCACATTTATGCCATTCTTCTTAATCTTCTCCACATTTGTCACAACTTTATTTAACTGTGGACTCAAATAGCACAAATTTAAGTCTAGTGATGTTATAACTAGTTCTAGGTATAAGGGCCTTTAACTTAATATACACCTATTGTGATTGTTATTTTAAAATGTTAGCTATCATGAAGCATTTTCTCTTTATTAGTTATAATGACCTTCAGGTTTGGGGGCATCTACTTAATATTGACTAGTCTTTATGAGTATCAGTTGTTCATTTTTGTTTCCAAGCCCTTCTTTTATGAAAAGGCAGCACTGAAATGGGACCTCATTCTTTAAGGAAAAGCTTTCTCCTCTTCCTTTGCTTTTCGGTCTTACTGCCACTGAAATGAAAGAGCCAGCCCTGTGTTCCATTAGCCAAGTGTTTCCGGAAAAGGCCAGAGGAATCAGTCTTTTTGCAATGCTTCTTGCCACATCAGCAGTGATCTCCATATTTGGAATGTGGTCCTGTTAGTCAGAATGGCTGTGGGGATAAGGCTGTATTTCCTCAGTTTATATTTGGGCCCATTGCCTCAACACAAAATTGAAAGAACTGAGTTCCTACCCACAGACTGACATCCTAAACATTTGGACTTGGCATAATGAGAACTGCTCCCAACACCGTGTTCTGTTTAGGTTGATTACTGATGGCGGGGCTCTCTTCAAGATGTAAAACTTAGGTTTAAAGAACTCTGATTTCCAAAATTAGCTCTTTTCCTTTCAAAAACTAGATACTTAGTTTGTGATTTCATCCTCAGAAGCCACTATACATTCACCTCAAAGAGTAACAAAGTAAACAATATATTTGTTTTTATTTCCACCTGAGAAATGCTGTATCACATTTTCCAAATTCTAGGAATGGTTTGTTTTCAATACAGGTTATTTATCGTAGAAACCTTTCATCTGCAATTTTTACGGAAAAAGGAAATAATTGCTCAGTATGAAAGTTATGCAGCACAGTAATTTACAGAACAGCAGTAATTTGCTAAATGATTTCCTAATGAAATGAAAACATGACTATGCCTCCTCAAAAGCTTCCTACTAGGCTTGCAGTAATTTCAGGCAGGTGATTGGCTGGAGCCCCTCAACTGTAACTATAAAAAGAGAAGGCAGGTCAGTAAATTATATTATGGAAATGAAAGCTATCTAGCATTCAGTTTTTGTATTTGGAGGGTCAAGATTTTCCTCTTCTTGTTTTTTTTTTTTTTCATCTTGACGCTAATGACTTAGGGATTGGCACAAACCTAGGTCTTCTGCTATGCGTGGTTTTTCCAGCAGAGGAGATGAATTCACACTAATACCTCCACATGTTCTTTCTAAGTCATTTAGTCCCTTCATGTGTCCATGAAGCCAAGTAAAGCTAACTGACCTACCTAGAAATTGAAACTATAACCTTCATCGATTTTGTCCCATGCTCCAATCATCTGAGCTAACCAGGCAAGTAATACATTGGAATAAGAAACAGTTTGCCTACAAAATTACAGACTTGCCGTAGGGTATATGAGTGCATCTTTTTATACCAAAATATTTCTGATAATATGTTAAGTTAAAAAATTATTATATATAATTTTTCTATTATTAAAATTATGTAAAAACTTAGAGATATCATATAATTCACAAATGAAAGTGTTAAAATTTTAGATAGAGTTCCTCTATATTTCTGGATCATATACATTTTATATTTTATTTTAATAAAGTACAAAAAAAATAAAATGGTACCATTTTTTAATAAATCCCCTGAATGGTTTGCAAATATCCCCAAAGCTGTACATTTAAAAAATCTGGGTATATTGGAGAATTAGTAAATAATTTGAAAAAGGGTATATCTTATTGCTACCAGCTAACAGCAGGCATAATAGGAGTACAGAAAGCAGCCCCAAACAGTTCTGTACTTTATGTAATAAAAAAATTATGTTAACAAAAAATTATTTAGGAGGTATTTTGTCATAAAGAACTAATTTGAATACTAAAATACTTTATTTCTTACCAAAATTTTTATGGAATTGTATAAAGCCCATGGTTCAACATAAGATAGCCATCAATGGAGATAAAAAGTGGCATGGTGATTAGAACATAAGAGAGCTAATATAATTATTCATAAAATAAATATCGAGTTGTGACATTTAATTAATTAAGTATAGGCAATCTCAATTATACTAAACGTGAAGAAAGCTTTAAGGAAATCAAACTAGATTCCTATTGCTGGGAAAAAGTTCTCATGCCCTAAGGAGAAAAATCTGTCCTATATTCACGTATTAGAAAGTTAAAGATTTAATTAAAAAAATGTAAACTACTAGTTTTTGCTTGACTTTCCCAGTTTTCTTTACCCAAATATTCCAGATTTTGACTTTGCTATCTTGTTTTCCTTAGGTATGAAGCCTCTGTTCTTTAGGCCAAGTACAATATTATAAAATAATGCAATCCGGAGGGCACTGGAAAATAGCTGGCCAATGAAAGTGCTCCATAAACAATGTGTTTAATAAAAAGAATGTAATGTTTAGATTAATTAAAGGAAATATGAACTAAAGAAGATCAAGTAAGAAATTTGTTGAAATTCAAATGACGGTACCTCTTGGGTCTTCGTATTATCCTCCTCTTGTTCTCTAGCCTGGTACCATCTCCAAAGAGGAAAAACCAGGCTTAAAGCACATCTTAGGATGGCTCAAAATCTCATCCTCATTGGTAGCTCCACATGAGTCACTCAAACCAAAACTCAAGCACTCTCCAGATAACTATGGCTATATTTATTTGTCCAGAGGTAGCATTGTCCATGGAGGAACATTCAGTAGGCAACATGGTGTAACTCTTAATTATTTCTTATTCTATCTGTCCTTAAATTACCTGAATATTTTAATTTTCTATTTAGTGATGATTTGGTATTTATTTCATTTGAATACCTACCCACCTTTTGGAAAAACAACAAGAACAAACTGAAAATAGGAATGTCTTCACGGGAAACCAACCAGTTGCTGTCTTCCCGAGGCCATGAGAGAATATGGAGTTGAAATGACTCTCCCTGTTTGCAGATCTCTCTTTGCATCCTAGCATCGTAGCCTCCTCTCTAATGAGATGTACATCTTTTCACTTACACTCACAACAACTTCCACTCCACTCTGCTGGCTCCTTCAGTAGGGTAGAGGCACACTCACTCAAGATCCAATCACTCAGCACCGACAGGGACAGCACCATTAGGCTGCCACTTCACTCAAGCACACAGTTCCATGAGAGGCTTTGGTCCCAGGAAATGTTTACCCGTGGTTGAGTTGTTGTCACATTGGACTATTTGGATAATGACCAAATAATATTAAAGGCTATTATTCTATTGCTAAATTAGGGACCTTGGAAAATCAATATCGTATTTCTTACAGGTTAAATTAATCCTGTTTACTTCACATGGTGAAAAAATAACCTAACTTCATTATTTTAAAATGTATTATTATTTGGCAAAAATAACATTACCTTGCATATTACTGATGTACAATTTGCTTTTATCATTTAATATGTTTCGGACATCTTCATGTCAGTAAGCATTTCATTCTCCTAATATTTTCCTACTATTTTATTGTTCACATATATCTTAACTTATTTATAACAAATTAATTACTGATGGAAGTTCACACTGGTTTTAGTTTTTAATGAAACTCCTCGTAGTTTAGCTAGTGTTTTTATGCATTTGTAGAAATTAATCAAATTCCTAAAACTGGAGTTTCTGCATAAAAAAGTATGCACATTTTAAACTTGGACAGTTTTTACATTATCTCCTTCTAGAAATGTACTCATTTACACACTTGCACACTCACATGCACACATGGTTAGCGTATACATAAAACGAATCTTGACAACACATATCAACACCCACCTGCCCGTTACAAAAACTTTTGTGTGTAAAGTGGGATTGAAGGGGACTTTAAGTTTTATAAACAGAAAAAAGTTTTGCTCACTATTTGCAGATCTCTTCACTCCCTCATTCAACATGTATGCATTCTACAAGCATCTGTTACCATCCACTCAATGCAAAGTGTGGTGCTAGGGGCTTTGGGAAGGTACATCGTAATAGAGAATTCGGTCTTGTTTGGCCAGGGTAAACACTACAAAGCCATGCCTAGTACACAATCACAGTGCAATATAAAAACAAGTACAGGAATGCCCTACATGTACAGACATTATAAGTGACTGAGGTGAAAATTCTATGAACTCTTTCCTCTGGAGATTGTTCTCTGGTTGAAGTACAAAATGTTTCTATTTCATTTTATTGTTCTTTTTATTATACAGAATATGGCATCTAACATAATTTCAATCTTAGGGGGTAAAACCAAAAAAATCTGAAGAAAGTAAATTTCATAAAGCAAAATTTCTATGACTAGAAATAGATATTAAGTGCATATTTATAAATACATAAATGTAAAATGCCTGGGTGCCTTCTCCGTCTCTGTGGATAGTTAGCATATATTTTCTTAAAGGCCCCACATTTCTTGACTCTAGATCCAAATCATACGGCAAGTGGGTTGGAAACGCCAGGCATGCATGTCAGGGGCTAATGCACCAGGCTACCCTGGCACACTGTCAGGCCAACTGCTGGACTGCTGCTTGGCATAGCTACAAGCCTCCCCTGCTGGCAGCTCATGTTCCAGGCTCCTGGCTGGGTCTTGCCATTTGCCCTGTATCGTTTGGGGCAGGGAGGCAGGCAGGAAGACACAACTGGGGATAGCTGAGCAATGAGGGGCTGCTGTGACCACAGCTGGTGCTGACAGCCTGGCACACAACCCACCCTACCCCCCCTTCCTCCTCACTGAACACTGCAAACAAAGGTTGCAGGTAGTAACCTCCAATACGTTATAGACAGATTCTAGTATAGTCTGTTTATTCTGTTACTAAGTTGCTTTTGGTTTCCAATTTAAATTTTAATTATCCCTCTGTTATGGGGAAAACAAGATATTTCCATCACCTGTTTTCCCCAAGGACAATAGTACACATTCTCATAGACACACTTTTAAGACACATCAAAGTGCTTCTAAATGTATGAAAAGAGAAACAAGTTCAGAATAAAAAGAGCTGTTTAACTATAAACAGCAGTTACCTATCTTATTATTTTAAAGAGCCATTTCTCAGCAAGGCAAAGGGGTTTTGAAGGTTGTGTTTATGGAAAAACACACACACATATATTCTCTATTCTCTTTTTTCCTTGCTGGGAATATTTACTCAAAGTAAACAAACAATTTTAAAATTCAGAAGATAAATAGAGAAAATCTAATGTGCACAAAATAAACAGATTCTGCTCTTTTGCTCCTTCAAGAGCTGAGTACTTCACCCTAACTCTTCTTCTTCTTCTAACCTCATCTAGATTCCCAGCTGAAGGAGCCAGTAGCCTAATTCTGCTCAGTTCTAATGCAACTTGAGAACAAATTCAGAATATCTCTGTACTGGTCTTGCCTGGGATTGCAGAACCCAAAGTCGTTATTCTACTCCAGAGGTAATACTGTGATCAGCCCTAACACCACTCGCCAGCCCTACTGTCAGCTTCTTGGAGAAGCAACTTTACCTCCTGTCAAGTAGTGACCTAAAAAAGTTTAATCCGGTTAACATTTTCAAGGTCAGAGTGGGTACAATGCTATCTATTTTGGCCTAAGAGAACAGGGAAATTGCTTGCTCTAAGTCTTAGATTTCTGTTTGTCCCTGTTCCATCCCCCATCCTCTTGGTCCCTCTAGATGTATTAAAGGCTCACATGGAGCTTGTGGTCTTTTCTACCTAATCTCAAAGCTTTAACTCCTGCCCTCAAAACAGGGGCCCACTCTGCTCAATTTTTATATTGAATGATAAGCAAAGCAAAACTTTCCAGTTTCCAACCTAAGAAGCAATGAAACTCTAAACTAGGAATTTTTTGACATTCCCCCAAACTGACATTATTCAGTGATCAAAATAAAATGCATACATAAAATCCTGGCCAATTTGCATACCCCATTCTTAAACACGCACAAAAAGCTAACTATTTTTAACCTATGACTATGACATGCGTTTGTTTTTCATAACGTCTCAGTTCTATACAACCATACGTTCAAGGTCTTTATCATTCAAGGTACACGAAGGTTGTGCATTTAATCTTTAGCATGGTTGTAGAAGATATGATTCACAGAGTAGAGAATAGATAAAAATAAGCATGCAGCAGCATGGTGCCGAATCATCAGAACTCACCATCTTATCAACAAATAGAAGTCATTCTTCTTTATTTCTTGAGCAAAGCAGCTTCATATAAGATAAATAGCTTTCAGTCAGAATAGCCTAACGTGCAATATGCATCTTTTTGACATGTATATTCTAATACTACTTTAGACCGGTAAGATTAAAGGAAGAAAAATCTCAGGGCTGTATGTTGACAACAAACACTGGTCGAATCTACATTTTGTCCATTTTTCATCTCCCAGAATTTGACTCAGTGTGGGTATGTTTGTACATTACTGGATATTATTAAATGATCTACCTCTAGTGACCTTCAAGTACTGTTTTCTGAAGTTTTATAAAGAGAAATAATTCAGGGAATTTTTACTTTTTTAGGTCAAACATGGAAAGTCACATCATGCTTTGGAGATACTGTCTTTTGTTTTCAGAGACCAGGGCGTAGCAGAATGTATTTCTAATAGATTTAGGAGACTGGGTTCTAGGTATGTGACCTTGAGAAGGCTACTTATCTACTTTAGTTTTAGTTTCCCCATCTTGTATAGGAAGAATTTGGGTCAGACGGTCTTTAAAATTACACCTAGCTCTAATATGGCATCATCCATAAGTTATTCTTTTGTTAACATGGAAAGTAGATGGGTGATGAGGGAGGCCTTCAGTGGCCCATGCCTTTGGCACTGGACTGAGCTTCCCTCTGTGGGTCTCTGCTGAGCACACTTGTCTGGCTGAAAGCCCTGTTTCCCATGGCTCTCAGGCCCCTTCATTCACAAATCCCCCTTCATTCACAAATCTTGTTTCAATGAGGCCATAGTAGCCTTTCACCTTTCAGGGCGTCATGCTGTCGCAAAGTTTCCGTTCTCACTTAAATATTAACTTCCACTTTCTGAGATGGAAAACTGAACTGAAGCTCTTGGGAAAATTGACTAAGCAGTAGAAGACTTGAATTTTCAAATAGTCACTGTTCTATTCATATCTACCAGTTTGTATGTGTGGAAGAAAGAACTTGGATTTTTAGAGTAGACTGCCTTTGATTAAAACTCCAGCTCTGCTACTAATCTAGCTGTTTGGCCTCTTTGAAATTCATCTCTGCAATATGTTCTCATCTATAAAATGGGCAAAATACCTACATGGATGTTATTGTAGACGAAAAGCAATTATTTACAAGTGCTCAAAAAATAATCTTCTTCCTCCCTCTACTTCAGCATCAACTTATTTCGGAGAGCATTGACAATGACACTGAAAATTATCAATTACAAGAAATCTACAGAATCCATTTCTTAGCGTAATATTGCTTAGTGAGGATCCATGTTCTGAAATGATGAGATGTGAAAGAAACTGCCTCATTTCCTTTGAAGATATTGCTATACCAGTTTACACTGATCAGTTTTGTTTTGGCTTGTACTTTTGAGTAAATAGGCTACTTTCTTAAGTTTGACCTGTGTCTGCCTCTGTGACCCGATTCCTCTCTCTTCTGCATCTCCTAGCCTCCACAACTTCAAAGAATGCATGCAAACTCCTAGGCCAAAGGATGAAATCAATTCTGCGGGTGTCAAATTAGTGATGCATGTGAAAACTCTTTGAACAGGATGAGGATCTATGCAAACTCAAGACAGTAAGTAAGGATTAAGTAAGGTACAGTTTCTAAAAAAGTAAATTAATTCTCACTAGATAAAAGGCCAGTGTATAATACACATGTGCAGTTCAACTATGCCATTTTGTGAGGCATATGAGGGAGGATATAGGAAAGCTCACGAAGGGACAGTCAGGAGACCTGGGTCCTAAATAGAACTTTCCTCTTTACTCTCAGTCTGGGCTGTGTAAGAAAGTATAACATAGCATCACAAACACTGGTCCTAGCTTTCTAATTCACTAAGTGCGTGAGCTTGGAAAAGTTGCTTATCTTCTCAATTTCTCATTATAAAAATAGGGATGATACTAGCTCACGGAGTTGTGGAGAGCATTAAAGAAGAAAATAAATGTAAAGATCTTGGCTTAAAGTTTTGGTCAGAGAACATGTTCAAAGGATAATTAATGATTATTATTAATATTACTTGTGAAAGAGAAGGTTGGATTAGATGATCTAAGTTCTTTTTCTCCTTTAAAATTAGACACCTTCCCCCCTTTTTTCTAACAAAATACTCCTTGCAGAGTTTGGCACTCCCTGAACTCAGAGTTTTGGGAGCCTGGCCAGATTTAATAAGAAGAATGCTCAGATTGGGCAGTTGTAAAAACAAAAGCTATCCCATCTTTACAAATCCAGTTAGCGTAGCCAATATTCAAGGGAATCTACATGTGTTACTCCATCTTTAGTTTATACTTACAAATACAGAGAACCATCTCAGATAATAAAAGTAAGTGCTGAATATTTTTGCAAGCTATTATAGCATTTTGAAAGAATACTGTAAACACAAGATGTGACTCTTTGGTAATGAAACGAATTTTCTTGTGTGGAGCGAAGGCTCATTAGCTCAGAGCGATGCTCTGTGCTGTTCTACAGAAGTTGCATATGACATTTCTCGCTAATGGCTCGTGCTGTCACTAAATATTTGTTTCTAACTCCCTCAGTTTTGGGGAATGTGGACATCCACTTGTGTGTAAATTAATAGCTCTGCAGAATTTAAATGAGGTACCCAGAAAAGCCCTTTTGTTTCCTGAATCCAGTAAGGACAAAAAGGCCCTCTTTCTAATGATATATTTGACCAGAGTTGTTGTTTCCAAATGTATAAGAAAATACTTATTTTATTGGAAAGAATGCTTTACATGATTCTCAGTAAATAAAACTGGGGCTTTGTTTTTAATGATCTTACCGTTTACATTAAACTGTGATTCTCAGCTAGGGGGAAGAGTAGGTGTGCGTACTTACTTTCTTCATCAAGAAGATTTTCAGCAGCTGATAGCAACCTCATCCTATCTTCTGGATTTTTAATGTTTAATTCAATGAGATGACTCTCTTTTATATCCTTTAAATCTTCTAGGGCCTCGTAACCATTGAGCAAAAGTGTTGAGGTGTATTCCTGTGGGGAAGAAAAAATATGCATAATATAAGATAGTCAGATTCAAATATTTTATTTTTAGTTCTCTTTAGATTAAAAAAAAAAAAAAGTGTAGGCATGCATGAAAACCAAAGGTGCCAACAGAACTTTTGCTTAACTTTATTTTATTTGTACTAGTTTTCCACATATGAACTTGGGGACATTTAAACAGTATGTTGTACAGTTCTCACCTTCTGGAAGGACAAATGTAAAGAAGAAATGACTACCTTAAGCTATACAATGCTAAATCATGGATCAATTAAATACCTGGATCATTCATCCCATTTGGCAGTTTTTCACTTCTCAAATAGTGAAATTGACAAAGCTAGTATGTTATTAAGTCTGTCAATAAAATGCCTCTAATACAGTATATTATAATAATATTTCTGGATCTATATCTTTTCTTGTTTGCTTGGTTGCAAAATCATCTACCCTTATTAACTTCTTGGAGTAGGTTAAAAAATGAATTTGAAATAGACCCAATTTATATAAAAAAGTATACTTAGCATTTTGGTTGAAAAGCATTATAGAAACCTAAGGAATCTCAGACTTTCTATTTATTTAAAAGCTTTCATTAAGCATGAAAGCACTGTGGTTGGGAAAAGTATTGTTTCCATTTCTTATCATGTATATTTTGTCCATCATTTGCATCAATATAAATTAGTTTAAAATTCATAGGCTTCTGATTTCAAAGTCTGTTATGTTATTTATGTAACTTCTCTCTAACAATAGAAATGCAAAGTAAATTTGAAACGCTTTTCAACTTTCTCAGATATTCCTCCCATTTTACTTGATCATAATTTCAATATCCTTATTTTAGTTACTAAAATTGAGTAAGAGGAGGTATAAAAGTTTTAAGTAATCAGAAAGAACTTATTACTAGCCCTTTATTTATTTTTAAAAAAGGGAAAGAAGGAGTAGCAATTCAACTCTTTTAAAAGTGATGTATCCTAGAAGGAGCACTGTGTTAGAACAGAAAAAAAAAAAAAAAAATTCCCATCCTGATGTAACTAACTGTGGATTCTTGAGTAAGGTATTTCACTTCCTTAGACCTTGGTTTTTTCATAGGTCACAGAACAAACAAGTAGCTGAAGCAGGATTCAAACCTGTGCTTCCTCCAAGGAGTACCCCATTTGGGGGACACCAATAGTAATATTGAAAGGCCTATGTAATGTGTCTACAGGCAAGAATGCAACTAGATAATTCAGGAAAACCACTTAAGGAAAGATTAATTGGCTATTGTCTTGATGAATTTTGAAAACTATCAAAGTACTGCTGTGTTAATTTTAGAAATGGATTGCAAAACAGTAAATTGAGTGAGGCTAGGCATATTGTATGTACATGCCATTTAACAACATAGATATTTCATAAAAAGTTTTCTAATGTAACAAGAAAATAATTGGATTTTAAATAAAGACAACACAGTTTTCTTAACACAATCATTATGAGGGCTTAATGATCACTGTTTCCTAACAAATTACTTTAAAAACAATTAATTTAGTTATCTTCTCTTGACTTGCTTTTGATCTCTGTTCTATAGAAAATACAATTTTCTTTTCATTTCTCCTTTCAATTCTCTGAATCTTTACCTTCACTCTTTATATTCTCTTTATCATTCTCATTACATGTTTTCTCTGGACTTTTATTCTCCCAAGTATATTTCATTTTTCACTGCACTTTCTCAACCTAATCTCTACTGTGACTGCTAAGTACCATTAGAGTTTAGTCCAAAGGATGTTATATCAAGACCTGTCCTCACATAATAAAAGTAATAAAGGGTATATATAAACTGTTTTTGGAAAACAGATTTTTCCCTTTCTGTAAGTCATGTATTTTTTAACTAAACAAACACTGACCCATTCTCAATTACTCCATCCGTATGCCACCAGAATCAAACAGGCCATAGGTTTGCTAACCTGAAGGTGAATCCTCTCTAAGAACTCCTGCAGAGTCTTAGGTTTTTCCTTTCCACTCCTTCTGTGTGCCTTTATTTTCTTGGGGGCTGCTTCTTCTTCTGAGATGACATCCACATAAATAAATTTGAAGTTTCCCACCTTATTGTTCAACATTCCTGTCCACATCCCCATTGGCGTTTTGCAGATAATGTCTATGATATCTCCTTTCTAAAGACAAAGAAATATACAAATTAGATTTCAGAGAACTCTGGTGCCCATGACAATTGGTAGAAAGAATGGAATCATTGAAAATTAGAATAATGAGGGCATTACACTAAGGGGGTTTAGAGTTAAAAATAAATCTAAGAGGAAATTTCTTTTAAAAGTTTAAGGAAACTATTTACTAGTAATATTGAAAAAAACCCCAACATACTTGAAGAAAGGCTCCTAAATGTATTTGATGATGTGTTTATGTTTTTGGTATCATATCAACTTATCAACTTATATTTGTAGAGTATCCTATAGTTTACAAAACACTTTTGCATTCATTAAGTCATTTTATGCCCACAACACACCTCTTAGATATATATGCGAGGTGTCATTATTACTCTAAATATTACAGAAAAAGAAATGCAAGCATTAAATAATTTCCCAAGAGCTTACAGGAAGTTAGTGACAGAACCAGAACTCAAGCCTAAGTTGTTTGAACTCAAAAGTAATGCTCTTTTTATTTACCCTGTCAAAACAATATATATGTAGCAAAGCTCAAGCTATCATTCCTGGAGGGGGTCCCAAGTAAGGAAGGGGAAGAAAGACAAGTCTACGACTGTCTGTGCTTCTAGTTCATCTGAAAAATTCATCTACAGTGTGAAATAAATCCACCTCAAGTATTGTATCCATCTAAAATAATGAAAATGTTCAGAACTTTGTACATAGCAAATATGTAACAAAAGTATATATGCACTAAGGATAAATTAAGCTAATTATCCTAGATTAATTAGTAATTAATTACTAATTACTTATTTAACACTTAGATTGAGCTCCACAGCAAAGTTTGGATTGAAGTATGAATGAAATGCATTGGGATAGACAAACCAGTTGGTCTTTCTCTTTATTCACATCTAAGAGTAAGACTGCAGGAGTTATTGGTAAGAGTAGAAAACTCCACAGGGTATTTTTTTGTAAAGAAAGTTGATTTCTATGCAAGTATAGTGTCTACATTTGTGTCATAGTTACTCCGTTGAGACTTACAGCTTTCTACCTCAGAGATGACATTACAGATTCTGATATTTTTGCCATTTTAAGGGTCTACCCTCAAACAAAGCATTAAGTCTGCTACTAAAAATATTTTTTTCTGCTGCTCTGTGAATGTGTATTCTTCCATCTAAAACATGGATTTTATTTGTAATAGTAGAATTCAATGTGATTAAAAGATCTGGTCTTTCCAATTTATGATAGTTTGCCCTTCAGACCCTATGAGCTGTTCACCTAGTTTTTCCTGTCTTGAACTATAGGGAATCAAATCCTAGGCTAGATGGGATCAGCTAAGCAGACCTAGAAAATCCCCAGAAGCTCTAGGGGAAGTTTCAAAGTATGGAAGTCCTATGCTACATCCTTCTTATTATCCTTTAAACTTGTAAAAAAATATACATTACAGGGAAGCCCACAGATCACAAGCAAAAATCCAATTTCATTTCGGATAAGACCCAGGATGGTCAGCAACAGTATTCAACACCCAGTGTGTCTGTGGGATTCCTTATTGTGTCCTACTCGAGCTCCACAAATGTCCCCTTAGGCAGCACAAATGGTGGTGCAACCTTTGTGTTGTGAAGCCCTCACAGCAAAAGAAAATGAACGAAGAGGATAAGAATAAAAAAAGGGAATTCAGGAGGGAATATCACAGAGAGAAAGTTGTCAGGTTACTCATGGCATTTGCAAGTATTGACTCAAGTATTGAAGTTGCCTGGCCAAGTCAGGTTCCCAAAGCGTTTGCTCTGCTGGGCTCTTGCCTGATATTTCCATTTTCTCTCCCTCTCCTTGGCTTCAGGTAGAACTGGGCACCTCCAGCAACTTGTGAGGATTTTGATTTTCAGAAAAATGTAGACAATTCCTTCTTCCCGAATAAGCTCTGATTCTACATTATCTACATAATGCAACTTTTGCAAATAGCCTCAAAACACTGATCCTCCTACCCTACCTCTCATGTTTTGTTTGAACTCCTGCCATAGTACACCAGTCCCCAGTTCTCCTATTGGGAAGAACGCACTCACCCCCTAGTTCCCCATACTTGCACTTCCTGAAAAAGATCATACACCCAGCCCTAGACAAACCATACAGAATGCGGATATGATGTGCACACACCTTGATTTTGAGGGAGTCAGTGTCATAAGGGCTCGGTGTGAAACTGGTATGTACGCGGGCACGGCCACAGAATGGTCCAGAGTAGGGGCCATCATCATCGAGTCGAAAGCTGTCCCGGTTAGTTGTACCGTCTGAACAGCTTGTTATTCCACCTGATATAGGCAAAGCAGAGGTTAACAGTTCTCACTGAAGGTTCATAACATTCTGAACCATCACCTGGACATAACTAAGCAGGAATAATGCTGAAGCATTGGATGCCAGCCTCCTGAGGCAGTCCTAAATGACCGACCCCTGTTTCTGCCTCCCAGTCATTTTCCACCAGTGACTTCTGTCCTCTGAGCCATTTCTGATCTTTCTCCAGTCAACCTGATCATTCTTTCCTCTACCACCAAACCAAACACTCTTACTTCAGTCTCTATCGTCTGATCCAGTAGCACAGTGCTTTGAGCATTGGATACTTGCTAAAGAGGCAGACAGTAGAGACTTAATTCCCTGTACAAACCAGATAATTAATTTTGTACGTGTAAACAGAGGCAGAAACCTATAGTGACAGTTTGATCTTTGTGTGCTATTGATCAGGAATGATCAAAGCATAAGACCACAAGCTTCCCTACAACTTATCACAATGTAGCAAAAATAGTGTCTCAGACTTCCTACTGTGTACCAAAAGCCATTTTGAGGCAACATCTCTGTGTATAAAAGGTAGCATTTTTGCTTGTTGTGTGAGCGTCAGGGAAAGAGGAAGTGTGTTCCAATGTCTGTACTCCTAAACTGTTCAAAATTGTTCTAAACTGGGCTTTTTAAACTGCTCCAAATCCTTGCTCTCTGGTCCTCTTCCTTTCTGATTTTGAACCTCAAGGGGGAAAAAAAAGAGATTCCATTTTTCCTGCCTGCCTGGGGGAAAGAATGGTTCTCAGTGGAAGTAACTCTGAGTCTCCCTACTGCTTTCACTTGTCACCTCATTTTTTTCCTTCACTGTGGCCTTTCAGTGCTCTGCTTCATGAGGGAACAGCCCCAGTATCTCTGCCATTCTTTCAAATAAGTATAGAAATAAGAGAAAGATCCTTAGCAATTCTCCATTTTTTGTTTTTTTTAAATATGGACTGGTGTAAAAGAAAGATGAGTTGCGTCTAGTCACAGAAATTAAGTTGTTTATGATAATAGCTAAGTAGATCCCCATCTCCTCACACCCTCCCTTCCACGACCACTCCAGTCCCTGGCTTTTCATTGTATATTCAAGTTATAAAATTCTACCCATATGTGGCATTACAATTTTGAATTTTAAAACTTCCAGCAGAAATGAATACTAATAAAATCTGAATTTCACACATGCAAAAATATATCCCTCAAATGCTTCTGTATTAGCTTTTTCTTCACAAAATAACTGTTCTACAACCAGTAGGAAAGTAGGAATAAAATTCAGGATATTTGCAGCAGCTGGTCTTTGTGATCCATCTTCAAATAACAGAAGCAGTTGATTTTAAATGAAATGGAAAATAAACTTTGCAAAAAACATTTAAAAGCCCTGAAAAGATTAGAGGGATAAGTAACAGTGTGCATATAAAAAAAATTATAAGGCACCCTGTAGTATCAGTAGTTTCGTTCAAATATTGTAGCAGGACATGTGACTGAAGCCTGAGTGACTTCTTTGGTAGAAATGATGTTTTTAGAAAATTCTTATTGAACACATGCTGATTCCTTTTTGTCACTAATTGGTGATATTCCTACTATTTAGTGTTTACATACTACTTCACTCTTTACTGGCTAATGCTGAATGGAAACCTAAAAAGTAAACGTTAGAACTGATGCAGATGTCCTGATCTTTTCAGAATACTTCAGGATAAAGAGGAAAGGAAAGGAAGGAAAACATGACAGAGGGCAGGACAGGGAAGGAATAAAGAAAAAATGAAAGAAAACAAAAGAAAGAAAGAAAGAAAAAAGGAAGAAAGAAAGGAAGGAGGGGAATGAGGTAGGAGGTAGGGAGAGAGGGAAGGAAGAAAGAGAGGAAGAGAAAAGGAAAGGAAGAAGTACATGGAGGGGGAGAGAAAGGGAAAGAAAAAGAGAAAACAGGATTTTAGTTTCCTGAATACTTCAAGTCATTTAAAAAATTTGGACTCAAAATAATGCTAGTTCTCCCCAGCACACTTTATTGTAGGGATTCTGATTTAATCATGCAATATAATCTTTTGGAGGCATATCCTCAAGAGCCTTGCTGACCACAGTGCTAAAAGTTTCAAAATAATCCATAATTCTAATATATTATGTATTATTTTAGACAATAGCATTGCTATAGATTCAACACATCCTACATTTTCACTATTTCTCTTATCAAGTATTTGGAACATTGGTGAAATTTTGACAAACAAGCCAAAGAGAAATAAATCTGTTGTTTTTAATGGACTTAACCCAGATCTCCCATCTAGACTCTTGTCACTTATTTTATACCCTTACTTGATGAGCTCTGCCCACTGTAGAGACTGTCCATGGAGTCACTGGCTTTGAGGGAGCTCTTCTCTGTATGGGTTCCAATCGTGGGATCACTGTTCCGATAAGGTAAGGCATCCTCTCCATCTTCCCCATCCTTCAGAAAATCATATCAGAGGTTAAATGCAAAGAACTGATTTCCTTGGAGACTTTCACTGTGTGCATTGATTTAACAAAGAAGACATATTTTAGCAATAAAATACTTAGGAATACATCAGCATAAAATATGAGTGTCATGAATCTTTAGCTCAATTTCAAGCATAACATTTTATGGTATAGTGGGAAAAATTCTTTAGATGAAACAGCCCACATTTTGGAATTTAACTGAAATTATAAAGTTTATTTTTGTAGTTAGGATGAATATTGTATCAAGACTATTTAATCAGAAATGCTAGATTTATTAACATCTGTGCTTTATCTGTTAAAGCACTTTTATTTCTTCATGTTCTCCTTATCATCTATTTACCACCATTACTAATCCTTTGAGATCTCATATTACAAGTTTAAACTCTGCATAGTCGCTTCGTGTCAGTTATTTGCACCCTACCAGACCACTAGATATGAATAAAACATACACACTTTGCAATTCTAAAGCAAAGCTTATCTAAGAAGCTTTACAAATCTCATATGGTGCTTGCCACCTAGTCAAGTGAAAAGCACATCTTGCATAAAATTAGGAAAGACAGACAATTTCAAAAAAAATTACATCTGCTTGAAAACATCTCAAATGTTTTCCATGTTTATATAGTTTCAACAAAGCCTATGAATTTCTTAATATTCATCAAAATATAATTCAATATTCCTCATTTTTGAGCATTTCTAAACATTGGTAAAAATTCAGACTATACATACAATATATGCTCAGTTTGATTCTCTGCTTTTATCCATTCTTTTATTCATTTGTTCAGTTATTCGACACAAGTTTGTAGAACACCTTCTAAGTACCTGGCATTGTTTGGGGAACTGGAGATATCATGGGAAACAATATACAGGGTCTATCTTAAATGAGGTACATTTTAGTTTGTCAGGGTGTGTGCGCACATGTGTGTGTGTGTGTGTGTTTGTAGTGTTTGGGGAGGTTTGTGTAAACAAAGTGAGCAAGACAATTTCAGAGAATAATAAGTGCTATGAAGGAAATAAAACTGGGTGATGTGAGAGGATTAGCTACTCGGGTTAAGGTTGAAGGAAGGCTGACTGATTTAGAGGGAATAGGCTCCAAAGACCTCCTCCATAAGGTAATAGAGTCTCTGAATTCTTGACCTGAATGATAAGAAGATGTGACTTATATGAAGATTTGAAGACAGTTTTCCAAGCAAAAGAAATAGCAAGAACAAAATAACTAAACTCAGAATTAGCTTGGGTTATGCAGAGGAAAACAACAAGGCCAGGGTAGCTGGAGCTGAGTGAGAGCAAGGAGAGCATTAGGATGTGAGCTCAGAGAAGTAGACTGGAGTCAGCTCAGGAAGGGCTTTATAGAGCACTTTCAGTAACCATGGAAATGTGCACTCAGATCTCTTGCTGTGGGACCCTTCTTTACTGACAGCTACAACTTCTGTATCGATCACTGTGTTTGCAAGGAAGCCATGTTCCAATGACTTAAGCAGTGGGGCTACAATTTGAGTCCATTCTGGTGGGATGTGGGGCTTCTCTAATGGAAACTTTTGGTTCAAGGACTTCCCATCAATCTGGCCAAAGTTTTCTTAGAACAGTGTTGAAGCCTGAGACTTGAATGATCCTCCTTCTTTCTTCCTCTCCTTTTACAGGTGTCAGACTTGCACTGTAGTCTGAAGGATTTCCTTGCTCATTTTTTCTTTCTCTTCTTTATCCTTCACAGGCATTTTCTCCAGTAAGTCTTTGGTGTGTCTATTCCCTTCTTGGGGGTCTACTTCTCAGAGGACTGGAATGAACACATCATAGTAAGGGAATGCATTTTGGTACTGTAAAATTTTAACCAAGGGAGTGATGTGTTCTGAATCTGACTTTTCAAAAATCTTTCTGGCTTTCATGTGGAGAATCGGTTTTATGGAGGAAAGAGTGGAAGAAAGGAAACCAATTAGGTAATCTAGGCAAGAGAGTTTGTTTATTTAGTCTAAAGCAGGAATAATTTACATGGAGAAGTTAAGGGTTTTAGGTATACTTTGGAGTTAGTACCAAGAGGATATGCTGATGAATTGGTGTGAAAAGTGAGAAAAAGAAGGAATTTTGAGTGATTTGTAGGCTTTCTTCTCTCTCTGTCTCTGTCTCTCTCTCCCCCCTCTCCTTTCTTTCCAGCATCTACAGTTATGACAGTGTTGTCTATTTCTACTTGGAAGACTGGACAAGAAACAAACTTTCTGTAGAGCTTAGAGAATCAATAATTCCGTTTTAGATACATTAGGTTCCAGTTATCTATTATGCATCTAAGTGATAATATCAAATAAGTAGTTGGTTGTATAAGTATAACAGATAAGTAAAGAGATCATATGGGACTTCCCTGGTGGTGCAGTGGTTAGGAATCTGCCTGGCAGTGCAGGGGGCACAGGTTCGAGCCATGGTCTGGGAAGATCCCACATGCCGCGGAGCAACTAAGCCTATGCTCCACAACTACTGAAGCCCACGGGCCTAGAGCCTATGCTCCACAACAAGAGAAGCCACCACAATGAGAAGCCTGCACACCACAATGAAGAGTAGCCCCCGCTCAACGTAACTAGAGAAAGCCCACACACAGCAACGAAGACCCAACACAGCCAAAGATAAATAAATAAAATATTTTTTTTTAAAAGAGAGAGATCATAGCTAGAGATATAATTGTGAAAAAGTCATGAGACAAGATGAGATCACTTAGGAAGAGAGACTAAACTAGTAGAACATCTAGAAACAAGCCTCAGGAAGACTCAATATTTAGAAGGACAGGAAAGAAAGCAGAGCTAAGAAAGGAAACTTTGAGAAAGAAGGAAAGCCAGAAGAATGCCCAAAGAAACCAAGAAAAAAGAATGTTTCATATGTAATGAAATCATCACTTGCATCAGGTACAGCTGAAAAGTCATGTAAGAAGAAAGAAAAGTGACCATTCGATTTGGCAACATAGAGGTTAATACTGACTGTGACAACTGTTTTAACAGAGTACTGGGGACAGATCCTATTGAAATGCATTAATAAGAAAATAGCTGTAAGACATATAGATCAATGGAATAGAATTGAGAGTCCATAAATAAATCCATATATTTATGATCCATATATTTCTGACCATATATTTATGATCAATTGATTTTTCAGCAAGGATGCCAAGACAATGCAATGGAGAAATAATTGTCTTTTCAACAAGTAGTGCTGGGACAATTGAATATCCACATTCAAATGAATGAAGTTGGACTCCTACCACACACCGTGTAGAAAAATTAATGGATCATACACCAAAATTTAAGAGCTACAACTATAAAACTCTTAGAAGAAAACATTGGAGTAAATCTTTGTAACCTTAGATTAAGCAATGGTTTCTTAAATACAATACTAAAAGCACAAATGATGAAAGAAAAAATAAATTGGACTACATCAAAATTATAACCATTTGTTCTGTAAATGACAACATCAAGAAAATGAAAATACTATCCATGAATGGGAGAAAATATATCATATCGCAAATCGTATATCTCATAAAGGATCTGTATCCATAAGATATTTTTTAAAAAAGCTTAAAAGCAACAATAAAAGTACAACCCAATTAAAAAGCAGGTAAAAGATTTGTATAAACACTTTTTGAAAAAAGATATGCAAATGGCCACATGAAAATATTCTCAACATCATTAGTCATCAGGGAAGTGGAAATCAAAACTATAATGAGAATTTATTTCACACCCATTTTGATGGGTAGCATCAAAAATCATACAATAACAAGTGTTAGCAAGCATGTGGAGAAACTGGAACTCTCACACATTGCTAGTGGGAATGTAAAATGATGCAACTTCTTTGGGAAATAGTTTGCCAGTTTCTCAAAGTATCAGACAGAGTTACCAGATAACCAAGAGAAATGAAAGAATACTTCCACATAAAAATTTGAACACAGATATTCATATTCATATTTTAAATCATGCTGAATCATTCATTCAGCATGATTTAAAATAATCCCAAAGTGGAAACAACCAAATATTCATCAATTGATGAAAGGATGAATAAAATGAGGCTTATCTATAAAATGGAATATCATTTGGTAATGAAAAGAAGTGATGTACTACTGTTTGTTACAACATAAATGACATATGTTCTTCACATACTACATGTGTGATCTTTCTAAGCCTCAATTTTCTCTATGAGAATGTGACAATGCTTTCTTCTGCCCAACTTCTGGGCACAATTATTGAGGGAGAAAATACATTGAAGGCCTTCATAAACTGCCAAATATTTCTAAACTACCTAGAAAAATATTAACAGAAAAACACAAGTGATTAACAGAGGACACTTACCTTTTCTTCAGAAAGGGCTTTGATATACTTTTTACCCACTTTTTTCTTCATTGTCCAGGAAATAGTTCTCATTTTTTTACCTAAACTTCCTCGATTATTTGAAGTTTTGTTTTGTTCTCCACTTTCATTTATGCGTTCCCCTTCATGTACCTAGTTAGAATTATTTACAAAAAACAAAACAATAAAGCAATGAAAAACATTGTCATTTGTCCACACTCCCTCTTCTTCTCTCTTTTCTCTACTTCAATGTTCTTTATCTTCACTGTAAAATTACAAACTAAAATAAATAAGAAAGTATATTAGTTTATTACTATCTGTGTTAACTTACCATTACCTAAGTTTCAGAAAAGAGTACTATAAATATTTTTAATTTCAGGTTTTTCTATCTTCCTTTACAAAAGCTTTGAAGAAACTATCTAAGCATATTTTTAACTTCAATATTTTTCTGTGCTGTTCTCTTTCATAGCCTGAATCACAATTTTATTTAGATATTTATTTATGGGTTTTGTTGTTTTAAAGTCTGTCTCCTCCTAGACTCTAGGCTTCATGAAGTAGGGATTTTCACCTGTATTGTAACAGTACTTTCTGAGTGCCTAAGGGAGATCCTGTCATAGAGTAGATGCTCAATACACATTTACTGAATGAATGAATGATGGTTTGCTAAAAAATGTGCAAACTACTTTATCAGATTCACTAAGTTCTTTCACAAATTGCTAGGCCACCATTACTAATCAATGAATTTGAATGAGCCTGAGCAACTTTTATAGGTTAACTCTAGAATTATAAACTTAATATCAGTAAATATATCTATGTATGATTATGGAAAGTTGAAGGTTTATACAATATGGGAGTTTGAGATTGACATATACACACAGCTATATTTAAAATAGATAACCAACAGGGACCTACTGTATAGCACAGGGAACTCTACTCAATAGTCTGTAATAACCTAAATGGGAAAAGAATTTGAAAAAGAATAGATACCTGTATATATATAACTGAATCATTTTGCTGTACACCTGAAACTAACACAATATTCTTAATCAACTATACTCCAATATAAAATAAAAATTTTAAAAAAAGATCAACAAGAAATCCCTCATGATAAAAAGTTATATAGGGCTTCTCACTATTTGTATACACATACTGCATTGTATTATTTACAACTGTGTAAATGTTGATAGACCATATAGCTATATACAAGTTTATCAATGTATATTCATGCATGTATACAAGTTTATCCATAAGTTTATATATACATAAATATATAGGTGAATAAAAAGGGATATATGTAATATATGTATAAAAGGGGATATATTATATATACCCATGCATATGTATGCACTAATGGAGGTATTTATAAAGTAATAATAGATGTCATTTTCTTTCTACTTTTTTTTGTCTAGAATATCCATTGCTGAAATCAACATATTTAAAGATATTATAGGTAGATGGATATAGGAATCTGAAAGGTATTCTGAGAGTCAGATATGATAAAAAGAATTCTTTATAAAAAAAAACAAAAAATAAAGATGCAATATATAGAATGAATAATTAAGAAGTGCATAAGATCTAAAGCCTATTGATCTAAAACAAACCTATCACATGAATAGATAACTCAGGTTCAATGATAAGCATATATTTTTACTTTTCTCAATGTACATCTCTCCTCTCTATTTTATTAGTTGTTTTACATTTCATTAATCACTTATCACAGTTGGTCCATGGTTTATGAGATAGTATAACAAATAGCAAACTTTGGACACGATGTTACATCCTGCCTTTGTCATTTATGACCTGTATAATTTAGAAGTAATTTTATTCAAACATATTTCTTCACTGATAAAATAAAAATAATAATAGTTCCTACTTACAGGTAGGTAAAGTGTTTAGTGCTGTGCTTACTTCCTGGTAAGTGCTCAATTAAATGTAGTGATGATGATGATGATGATGAGGTAAATAATTTTAGGGGAAGCTTTTCTTAAGCTACATTCAAAGTGTTCATGGTTTGCAAATGTGTATGGAGTGGTCACCACTGAGACATTTCAAAGTGTACAGAAGTATGAGAGTGCAAATGAGCAGCCTATGCTCTCCTTAACTAATTTCCAATTAAGCCATTTAATCATTTCCTAAATTAAAGCAATTACAAGTTACATGAAATTTAACATATATGTTGTTTTATAGTGGAAATGCTCAGAAAATTTGGGATCGTCTATGTTACTTTAAATTGTAAATCTCTTCGTAAGTTGATGTTCTGCCTTCCCAAACATCTGTTAGGTTTCTTAGATAGCTTTTTACTCTTAATGTCCAGCATGGTACTAGATACTAAATAATTGTTTGTTCATTTATCACAAAAATGTATGCAAGGTTATGATTTTTAAATATATTTCTTTTTCTTACTGTAATTTGCAAAAACTACATTGGCTTCATAATGTGTTTGTATAACACTCATTAAAATGGAATAGAATACTAACCCCAGTTGAATCATCTGGTTTTGATACGGAATTATTCCGAAAACGGTCAAAATTCCCCAAACTGCTGCTGCGCTATAAAATAGGAAAGAAAAAGGAAAGGAAATTTAGGATTTGTGACTTTCACTGATAAAACTGCTAAATAGATTAGATTATGGTTCAGTAAGCATCAGTCTCTTGCAAATACAGGATTAAAAAATCTCTCTGGACTATCTAAAGGCGCTGAAGGTGTAACTATTATTAACATTGTAATATTTACAGTTCATAAAATGTCTTCATATGTTTATGTTACAATGTTAAGCACCTTGGAGAAAAATCTATTAAATTATTTTTAATTTATAGTGTTACTTTTGCTCTTGAGAATGGCATGTATTACTAAACAACCAACCAACTAATAAAAAAACAACAAAACAAACAGACAAAAACAAGCATTTGAGTAGATCCACAATTGTGCCTCATAAAGATCATATTTATCAAAAAATAAAAATGAACACAAATGCATTTCCTGTTGCTAACTCCTGATAATTTGAAACTCTCTACTAGATGTCAGAATGAGAAGGCACATACACAGACCTATTAATAAATTGAAAAGCGCATTTAGGTGTACACAGCTTGGGAGGAAAATGAATTTTTCCACATTTAACATGGAATTACAGTGAGACCCCTGGGTCAATTTCATTCACTCGTTTTAAGAAAAAGCTCAGTATGTTAATAGAAGACTTATTCTCTTGGATACTTCTTGCCTACAAGGCTAAATTTTTATTCCTATGTAACTCATTCTAGGCAGGTAATTACAAGCAATTCCTGATATACTGCAAAGAAGATGATTCTCCTAAACACACTTTCAAAAATCTTTAGAGTCTTTGAGTCACAAAATTGATATTTTCTCACTATTTAATTTTATACATTGTTTGGGATGGTGGATATCGGATGTTACAGACTTTATATACCCACAAATCCCAAGAATATGTTATCTTAAGAACTTTATCTCGTTTCAAGCTTATAATATTTTCAAAATAAGCTGGTGGTACTGAAAAATAACCTGGTAATTTGAAAAGTTAAAAATGGGAGTCAGTAATCTATAAAACTTTGTATTGTCCTTTAAAAGTCACAGACCATTTTAGTTCAAGTTGGCTTCAAAGGCTCTTAGTCTTTACAAGCATTTTTATTCTCATGTCTCCCTACTAGTGATCTTTAAAACTCCTTGTTTCCCTTTTAAATCAGTTGAAATAAAAAGATCCTGACACATGACAAGGGGTTAGCTTGATAGACAGTGTGATACAGAACGTCACCCCAAGGATGATGGCTGTGTTAGACACAATAATGCCTTTCGCTGACTTGCTACCCCTGATGAAGAAACCCTTCAGCTTGTGGCGAGGGGAGAGAAAAAGAAGGACTGAAACTGAGAACCACTCTGGTTCTCACGCAGGGCTTACTAACTTAGAGTGATTTCCCAGAGCATTAATCATTTCTACTTGCCTAGTAGGCATTTCTGCCAGGCCATCATTGCCCAGAAATCACAAAAGGGAATTGAGTGTATTCTTGTGTTGCTTATAAACTATCTGAACACAGGGAAATCTGTTACTCTTTTATCTACTTGAAACATTCTTATGGCCTATTGGAGCCTGTGCTTAGGGCAATTTTGTAGTCTACAACCAGCCTATGTCCTGCCTACTAAATATTAATGAGGGTTACAGCATGATATCCACCACTGGATAATCGGTCGTGTTGCCCGGCATGAATAGGCTCACTTCAGCGTTTCTCTACAGTATCTTCTGCCATTAACTAATCAATAGTCACCACCTTTTAAAATTAATTCTCCCCTCACTATGTCAATAAAGAGAAGCAGATAATGGAGTAGTGGTTTTCAGGACTATTACTTTGGGTTTTGTCAGTCATCTCATTATGAATCACTCAACAGTTTTAAGCCAGAGGAGTAAAATACCAATCTGTCCTAAGACACCCTTTAGAAGCAAATCTAAGTATTTAAAATAACGTTTTTAAAATTTCAGTATTCTCTAGTCAAAAAGTTAGTGACTTTCTGAGGTGGTTTCATAATGTATAGGTTATGGCTTAATGAAAAAGGGATAATGTCTACTATGAGATATGGACAGTGAACAAATGTGTAACTTCTACTGCTGTTAAGTTTCCAGTGAAAAGGTGAATCACGTGGAGGTAAGCTGGTTTCATAGATGATAGTCCTTTATAAATAAGAATGTATTTCAATATTGATAATTTTGCACTGTATAATTGTAATGGATTAGGTTTAGCAAATACTATTTTGTGACAGAACTCCCATCAAGACAGAGCTATTATATAAACAAATAGCTATTGACAAAAGAGTAACTTAAATAAAAATGCAATTTATATTTTAGATAATTCTTTGTTTTTGTTGACATTAGATTATATTTAGTCTTTAACTATAAATCTATACAGTCTTTCCTTATGCAATTAGATATGTGTTTGTAAAATGGCACACCTGTGGAAGGTAATTTGGAAAAACTAGCAAAATTACATGTATATGCCCTTTGACCCAGAAATTTCATTTCTAGACGTCTATGTCGGAGATACACTTGAATATAAATTGATTTACTCATCCACATTCAATGTAAATCTTTTATAATATTGAAAAGCTATAAATCCCAATGTTCATCAAGAGAAGACTGATTGAATAATTTATGGTAAATTCAAACAATAGAAATGTGTGCATCTGCAAAAACACTGAAATATAACTACCTGCTATGGAATTATCTCCAGGACAGTGTACGTGAAAAAAGACAAGTGGAGAATTGTGTACATAATAGACTGCCTTTTGTCTAAGGGTGGAAATACATGTATGTGTCTCAATATAGGCAAAAATATATTTTCCTTCTTAGAGAAATGGGGTAAAAGAAGCAAAGTAAAAGGGACAGAAAACACACTTCTCTGAATATGCCTTGTTTTATAAATTTGACTTTAAAACCATGTAACTTTAAAAAAATATTTATAAACAAAATTAAATAAAAATAAAACAATCCTTAACAATTCCAAATAAAAATAATGAATCTAATTTCATATTGAATTGGTGGCTTAGAGAGAGGAATTATTTTAAACAATTAAAAAAAAGACAGTAATTTGATAGTTTGAAGGACCAAATAAAAAAAAAAAGACAAATTTTAACCTGTTTTCCAATCCCATTTACAATTGCATCCAAAAAAATTACCTAGGAATACATCTAACTAAGGAGGTAAAAGACATGTACTCAGAAAACTATGTCACTCATGAAAGAAATTGAAGATGACACTAACAAATAGAAACATATACCATGCTAATGGATTGGAAGAGTTAATATTGTAAAAATGACCACATTAGCCAAAGCAATCTATGGATTCAGTGCAATCCCTATCAAAATACAAAAGGCATTTTTCACAGAATTGTATGAATTCACAAATAACTCTAAAATTTGTATAGAAACACAAAAGACCTTGAATAGCCAAAGCAATCTTGAGAAAGAAGAACAAAGCTGTAGTTACCACATTCCCTGATTTGAAACTATACTGCACAGCTACAATAATCAAAACAGTATGGTACTGACACAAGAACAGACACATAGTTTAATGGAACAGAATAGAGAGCACAGAAATATACCACACTTATATAGTCAATCTACAGCAAAGGAGACAAGAATACACAATAGAGAAAAGACAGCTTCTTCAACAAATGGTGTGGGAAAACTGGAAAGCTACATACAAAAGAATCAGACTGGATTACTTTCTCACACCACATAAGAAAATAAACCCAAAATGGATTAAAGACTTAAATGTAAGTCCTGAAACCATAAAGCTCCTAGACAAAGTCATAAGCAGTAGGTTCTTTGACATTGATCTTAGCAATATATTTTTTGGATATGTCTCCTCCTGCAAGGGAAACAAAAGCAAAAATAAATAAATGGGACTACATCAAACTAAAAAGCTTTTGCACAGCAAAGGGAATTATCAACAAAACAAAAAGACTGTATTTGCAAATGATGTATCCAAATAGGGATTAATATCGGAAATATACAAAGAACTCATACAACTCAGCATCAAAAAAAGAAAAAAAAAAACAAAACAATCCAACAACCCAATCAAAAAATGGGCAGAGGCCTTGAGTAGACATTTTTCCAAAGAAAACATACAGGTGGCCAACAGGCACATGAAAAGATGCTCAGCATCACTAATCATCAGGGAAATGCAAATCTAAACCACAATATCACCTCACACCTGTCAAATGACTATTATCAAAAGACAGCAAATAACAAGTGTTGGCAAGGATGGGGAGAAAAGGGAACTTTTGTACACTCTTGGTGGGAATGTAAACTGGTGTATCCACAATGGAGAACAGTATGGAGGTTCCTCAAAAAATTAAAAAATAAAACTACCATACAATCCAGCAATTTCACTCTTGGGTATTAATGCAAAGGGAAAAAAAGCACACTAATTCAAAAAGATACTTGCCCCCCTTTGTTCATTGCAGCATTATTTACAATAACCAAGCTATGGAAGCAACCTAAGTGCACATCAATAAATGAATGGATAAAGAAGATGTGGTATACAAATACACACACACACACACACACACACACACACACACATGCCCCACACACAATGGAACAAAAAGGAACAAAATCTTGCCATTTGCAACAACGTGAATGGACCTAGAGAGTATTTTGTTAACTGAAATAAGTCAAACAGAGAAAGACAAATACTGTATGATTTCACTTGTATGTGGAATCTGAAAAAGGCAAACAAATGAACAAACGTAATAAAACAGAAACAGTCATACATACAGAGAACAAACAGGTGATTGCCAGAGGGGAGGGGTCGGGGGATGAGAGAAATAAGTGAGGAAGATTAAGAGATACAGACTTCCAACTGAAAAATAAATGAGTCACAGGTATGAAATTGGGGAATATAGGAATAATAATGTAATATCATTGTATGGTGACAAATGGTAACTAGACAGCATGTTGGTCATTTTGAAATATATAGAAAGATCAAATCATTATGTTGTGCCCCAGGAATTAACGTAGTGTTGTAGGTCAATTATACTTCAAA